CTTAGCCAGGGCCACCCCAGCAGGGAACTCTGCCCTAAACACAGCTTAGCCAGGGCCACCCCAGCAGGGAACCCTGTCCCAAACACAGCTTAGCCAGGGCTACCCCAGCAGGGAACTCTGTCCCAAACACAGCTAGGTACCTTAGCCAGGGCTAGCCCAGCAGGGAACTCTGCCCTAAATCACAGATTGACAAATTTTAATAGAAGCCATTGGGTTTGCCGACTTCATCCTCTAAGGCTTTCCACTGGACTTCCGACATCTATGAAGCTAAGTCTTGGGTTTCTTCATAGTGATTGTTTCTGCCCCATTGCTTGTAAGTACCAGCGTTTGATAAGCTCAGTTCCACGAACATGGTCAGTGTTTGTGGTTTAAAATGTAAAACTTTAGACGTACACATACTAAGTTGATTTTGTCTCCTCCAGCCCCCTCATTTTTAGAGGATAAAGTTCAGGCTTTGAAAACGTCTCACACTTCCCAGACACGTCCCTCCACCAGCTGTCTCTCCTGTCTGCCGTCCCATCATCTTATCTGTTGATTAAGTAAATGTTGGTGGATGGAAGGTCAGGGTCTGAGTAGATTTAGCCGTGAAGGATTTTTCCCTGGACATTTCTCATGCCCTTCTGCCTTTGTGTGACCATGTAATGAGTATAAACTTGAATGATTTTTTTTTTTTAAGTTTCCAGGGAAAAAACAAGATTGTTAAAGCTACCACATGGGTTTCTGCACTTGGGTGAAATAGTCAACACCTTGAGATTTGTAGGGTTCTCATAGGCTGTCAGGACGCCGACACAGATCAGCAGGTTGAGAGCAGCTGGGTTACAGCTGTGGAGACGGAAGGACATTTTAGGCATGAGGAACCAAAATTGAAGCTGACTGACAGTCGAAGGAAGCAGAAGGACAGAGATACAGGATGTGGGAAAGTCCCATTTCAGAGACAGAAAAGTCAGGGTGTTAGGACCAATGAAAGTGATGATGTGCACAGCGGAGTTTATATGAAAGAGGTTTATTAGATGGAGATGAAGAGAGAGAAAAGGAGAGAGCGAGACATAATGGGGGAAGAGGGGGTTCTCTGACAGAGAAAGGGGAGAGGGCAAGAGACAGACAAAGTGGTGGGTTGATCCTTTTAAAGACTTAACCACGCCTGCCAGGTGTGGCTACCTGGCTACACCTGATGACACCTGATGACATCATAGGTTGCTAGGCAACCAAGAAGCGTGCTGCCTAAATACTAACATTCCTCCCTTTTTCTATAATTAAAAAATGAGGAGCTTCGGCTGCTTCTCATGTAAGACAAGCTAAAGTATATAAATTTAGGTTCATTGGAAGCAGCTCTTGGTTGCCATGCAAGGGGTTAAATGAGAGAGAAAAAATAATAGCAACAAAATGACCAGATTACATGGTCAGGAGGAGGAGGGAAAGCCCCTGCCCTGGAAAGTTTAGGGTAGAGGATTGCCAGCCACACAAGGGAGCAGGTAGTGACTTAAGAATGCTGAGAGAACCTGCAGCTTCTTGTCCTGGTCCTGACACACCATTCTAGACTTTTGTTAATAATAAGTGAATAACAGGCATAGATTCTCTTCTGGCTACTTCCTGCTGACACTGTGGGCCACTGTAGGGAGGTCAAAAGCCTGAAATGCTGGCCAAGTCCAGGAAGAACAGGCTGTTTTGATGCTGTCCAGGGTCTGTAAGAACATCCATGGCTGGGAGGGAAAGTGCAGGTCTGATGGAAGTCTGTGAGGTCAGACTGGAACACTGTGGTAGTTGCTTTGGAGCTGTCGTGGATGTAGGAAACATCTGGGCCTGGCAGGATGCCGAAACATATACATGCATATATATATATCTCCAGAGGTTAAAATTAAGTAGGTTATGGGGAAATTTCTCTAGGTGTACATTTAAAACTTTCGGGAGAGCGAACAGAGGTGGAAAGTTTGGATCAAAGAGACTTGAACATGGGAACCTCCATTTACCTGAAGGAACTAACATTTACCCAATCACTGGCAGTAATTAAGGCTTTGCTTTGGATTTGTCATCTAAGGACTGAGGCCAAGTTTGGTTACAGAAGTGTGTGTACGTTTAGAGGCTCTTAAAGGGGGCACTAGGTGTAGAAATCTGAAATTCTCCAGAAGACATTCCAGAGGAGAATCTGGAGCAACAGATGAATGGAATATTCCCATTGGGAGGGTAGGAGTCAGTGACCTGCCAGAGGTATCCCACAGGCAAGGTTTGGCTCAGTAGAGTATGGTCCTACCTAATCCAACAACTCTTCAGCGTTGGCCAGAGACCAAGGACACAGCTGCCTGTAGGAGACATGGTTTACCTAGTGCTAGGATTTTCATAGATGAGCGTGAGACAGGGAAAAACCATGCACATAGAAGGCAAAAAAATCTCTTCCACAGGGAAGAGGAAGTCCTAAATGGAGCAGCAAAAAGGGTCAACTGTGGCCAGTGAAGACTGTGGTTGGGGTTCCTCTGTCTCAAATGGTACTAGGAAGTTGCCAGACACTCAACAGTCAATTTTCCCCCACCAAGAGAGGTGTTTGTGCTGACCAGTGAGGGGTTTGTGCAGTCCAGCTGGTGTTGCATGTAAGAGGTAGCAATCAAGTAGCAGGAAAGGGGAGGAGTCCCACCCTCTGAGATAGGCAATAGGAACAGTACTTATCTGGAGCCCAGTTGACCTGAGAGGTGGATTCAGGTGGATTTCCTGCAGCCTACAAGAATTACTTTTAAGTTTTACGAAGGAGATAAAGCTTTAGACATGTTGGCATCACCATTGTAATCTGCACTGAAATGCACATTGCAGAAAAGGCAGTGGACATGCGCATTTGTGTTAACAGCTGAGAGAGAGCGGAACAGTTTTCCTAAATTAATACATGCTGTTTCTCCTGCCACGACTGTCTATGATCCAGAGTCACCACTAGGCTTTCTGGCTAATAGGTTTGCTATAATTCAAGTGTAATTTTAAAATTGCTTCATACTGTTCTTCTATATTGTTGGTTTTAAAACTCATAACTCAGGGGTTACTATGTACAAGTTTTTACCAGTACTCTAAATTAAGATGTTTTAATTTTAGAGGTATTTATTTATTTATGTTAAAATTTGGTCGCTGTGCTATACCTTTATTGTCAAAAGGTTAAAATATGCTTGGTCTTATTTTCTAAAAATGGTATTATTATTAATATATAGTATAGCCTTAGATTTTTATAAGCTATAAACTTTTTATATACTAAATCATACAGAAAACTGTTATGCTCTCTCTCAGCTCTTGCCCTCTCCTCTCTTGCCCGCTCCCCTTTCTCTGTCGGGCACCCTCATTTTCCCCCTATTATGTCTCGCTCTCTACTTCTCTCTCTCTCTTCATCTCCATCTAATAAACCTCTTTCATATAAAATCTGCTGTGCGCATCATCATTTATTTGGTCCTAACATAGGGGGTGGGAGTTGCATCAAGCTAGGAGAAAAAGAATGAGAGAGAATGAACTTGAGAACAGAAATAAATCAGTCCCAGGCTGAGAATGAAAGTCACATGGCATACCAGAAGTAACAGAGACGTAGTGGCGTAGTGTGTGGGGTGCAGAGTTGCCCAAAGCCTGGCTGCCGTCAGGAGAGGAGACAGATTAGGAAGAGCCAGCGGCAGAGGTCCTTCACGAGAGGGGTCAGAGCCACCTGCATATTCGTCATCGGAAGCTGGCGCTGCGCTTCATGTGGAGGCTGCCGCCTCAGCATGGTGAGAGCTTCATGTGTCAGGCCTGGCCCTGTACCTACGCAGAACATGAACCCACAGCCAGGCTCCATTTGCCTGGGAACCAGTGGAAGCACAGGTATTGGAGCTGTTCAGCCCCCACAACCTTGAAGTCTCAGAACATCCGCAGAGCAGTGGACATCAAAGTCAAGACAGACTCCTGCTGGGTCAGCTGTCTTAGTAGACAAGAGTAGAAAACATAGACGCAGGAGCCAGCTGTAGCGTGAAGGAGAAGGCACACCTGACACACAAGCAAGGAAGGAAGACTTCAAAGGAGACTGAGACTGTTCACACTGATTTTGATGGATCTGAGCTGGAGAGAACAGGTGTATGCAAAGCGAAAGAGCAGATGTTCAAACAGAGTGACCAGAGGCTGAAAACAGCTCAAGAGAGGAAGTGAGGAAGCAATGGATGTGGAAATGGCTGGGGTCCTAGGGAGGGCTTTTTAAAACCTCCTCCAACTAAGACTTTGGGAAAGCAGCAGTTTGCAGAGCTTTGAGGGCACACCACATAGCTACGTGAAGGAAAGCCAGCTTGGGAGAGGGAAAGGACCAGCTGAGTAAGGGAGGGAATGCTGAGCGCGTTGGCCTTGGGATGTGTCTGAATCCATACAGGCCTCTGTTAGAAGTCAGAGCGGGGGACATCCTCCAGTTTGGATTCCAGTGGTGTGTGTAACTGATGGCACAGCTCTGCTTCTTTCATTTAGTGACACGGGAAATTGTTCCCCGGTCAGCATGTGCTGTTTTGCTTATGGAGTTAATTTTTCAACTAGTTTCCCTGGAGAAAGTAGCAACTTTCACCGTGTTGGGCCCTTTGGGTCCTTAGGAGCA